CATGCTGTTAGGGATCAGCGCCGGCAGTGCCCACTCCTCAGCCTTATGGCCACACCGAATGGCAAAGGATGCTGGGAAATGTAGTCTAGCTGCCCAGAAGAGGAAATGGGTTTGAAGGACCTGTGCTCAGACCTATGGTGGTGTGCTCATATGTTCTTAGGGACACATTCGAGTGCACACTCAGACCCAGACTTGGAGACCAGTGGATACGTGTCGCTGCCCGTGACGCTGCCGCGAACAAAGGACACACACCAAGCGGTTTCTTCCTTTCGATCCCTTTATTTTCCCCTGAGGTAGTCAGTTGTCCGCTGCTCCGCGCCCCGAGACGGGGCCAGAATAAAAGGAGTAAAGTGGCCAATCAGTGTAGTGAACACGTGTACGGAAGTGCATATAGCCTATCATATGGGCCATATGTGAGAGTCCCGTGCTGATCATGCGACTTGTTATTGGCTAGACTCCAAGTGCACGCGTTCCGGGTAAGAAACTTCTAGGAATCTGTTTACTCTTTACGCGAGTAAGAGAGTTCCGCTCGGCGCCATCTAGTGGCGCGGTCCGCGGTAGGGCATTGTCGCCCTCCACAGATACGTGCCAGCGTCGGAGGTCCATTCACATGCACACTCACATGCTTAGATCCATCGAGGTCCACATACAGATATGCACATGTGGGAACCAGCAGTGAGCTTAATGGCTATGTCGCTGGACTCCCACATAGTCGATCGCGGTTCGCGTCCCAGACCCGGTGGCTTAAAACTCATGTCGGGCGCGTGTGCGTGCGTGCCCAAGCTCCTGAGAGAAGAAAGGAGGAGAAGGGGTTGCGGTGTGGCCATCCCCCCTGGGGGGGTGATTTCTTGCTTTCTGTCTATGTCTTTCTCTGTCTGGCGAGCGCACGTGCCCTGTAGCGAAAAAAAAGAAAAAGAAAAAGCTCTCCAGATACGCACATGTGCTCAGGGATGTATGCCCAAGTCTACAGAAACAGACCCTCAGAGGGTGTGTGCATGTGCACGCTGTGGTGTACCTGGCCTTCCCTGACCTTGAAGCCACCCTGGCCTCTGCCTTTGCTGTGCTGGCATCTCAGGGTGGGGAGGGTGCAGCCCTTCGGGTCCCACCCACAGTGGCGCAGGTTGTTCTCGCGTGAACAGGTGAGTAAGGACTGAAATCCAACCAGTGTTCTGCTCGCCTGGCTGTGTGTCCTGGGCCCCACAGCCGAGCTCTGTCCACCAGGAGGAGACCGATTTCTGGTTTTGCACAGAGGTGCTATTTGCCAAGTCGGGCATCGCAGGACCATCTCTGTGGAGGGGCCGCCTCTCCTAATCCACATGAAGCGCCCTGCTGGCGGGCTAGTGGCCTCTGGCCCCTCGCAGCCTGGGCAGGGGCCCTAGTACTGATGGCTGGGGCCTCACGCAGCTGCTGGCATAGTCTTGGACACTCTCAACCTCAGTTCTAGACTCACCTTCGGGCATGGACATACCTTGCTTGAGTGGGAGTGAAGTTCTGGGGTGGATTTCCATTTGGGGGCCTTCTGTGCTCTCAAGGCAGAAAGGGCTGAGCTTGCTGGGTTAGTGGTCCCGGGGAAGGAGAAGAGGGAGGAAGAGGTGTTTAGGACTGGCTGGTGGTCTCCTTGCTTGGAATGGAGTTCTTAGCAAGTGAGACTGACATGCACCAGACTCAGTTTCTCCTAGGACGCAGAGGAGCGGAGGGTGGTTAGCATTGGTGGTAATTGTGCCCCGCGAGTATTTTCCCAATGCTGCAGCTGCCTGTAGTGGGGGGTGGAGGGAAGCTGCCTGGGGTCCTCACTGGGTTCTGATGGCTCTAAGGGGCATCCCGTCCCAGTATGCTTCTTGGGGCTCCAGGCATCATGTGCCATTGTGAGTCTGCACTCTCAGAAGGCCAGTGGAAGGGGCAGAGGCTGGACCTTTCACAGTGAGGAGTCTGAGGGGAGTCGTCCTCCTCCTCCCCTAGGAAAACATCACGAACCCCAGCTCTGTACTAGGCCCACTGTTGGGTGTTAGAGAGACAGGCAGATGGGACTGGGCCTTTGGCCTTCCCTGGCAGTGAATCCAAACCTGTGCCTCCAGGACAGGGTAGGGACATCATGTCAGAGGCACCCAAGGCAGGGAGCATCCTCTGGGGACCTACCTGGAAGAGGAGGTGTTTGGCTGGGCTCTGAGATGTGAACAGGTGGTCAGGGAGAAGGCAGTTTGTGGACCCTAGTTGCACTCAGGTCCATGCATGGAAAGGAACCCTGCCCTGATTGGGCCCAGGAGGCCACCAGTTGGGGGCCTGCTAGCCCTGTCCTGGGAGCAGATAATTGAGTTTGCCCCTTACCCAGGACCGTGAGACTGGACAGTCCTTTGGTGGGGCTGAGGCTCGGGTGAGAATGTCAAGACACACTGATCAGGCATAGGCTAGAGGGCTCAGGGAGCCCGGCCTCGGCTTCCCCCTGGGCCTGGAGCCCGCTGTCCTAGTTTTACAGGTGAAGAAAAAAGCCCAGAGGGTGGAAGAAACTTGACTATAGCCATAAGGAGTTCAGTGACAGAGCAGGTGTGCGGCCTCCCAGGTTAGCACTCTCGCCAAGTCCAGCAGCCCGGCAGATCCTGGTGGGACGGGAAGGATGACTCAGGTTTTCCTGGGCTCCTCATGAGACCTGGCCCCTCCTGGCTTCTGAGAGCCACAGGAGGGACTGGGCAGTCTATTTGTTTACCTCACCTGACCCAGACACCCAGCGATCTTGGGGAGCCCTGCTCAAGCAGGCCTCAGCATCCACATCCATAGAAAGCCGAGGCTGGACAGTCCCAGCGTCACAAAACATGCTTCTCAGCCCGTGGCTCAGTTTTCCATTGTGGCTAAGCCTGGAGGCGGGGAGGGTGGTACAAGGAGTAGCCCTGGGGCTTTAAGATCTGGGGTGTAGGTGAGCCCCTGCCCTGGGAGAAATCGGAGCCTCATGGGAAGAGCAGCCTGGGGAGCTCGGCAAGACATATCAATGGCAAGATCTTGGCTGCGCTGGCTGGTGTGGCCAAGAAGGGCTCTGTGAGGTTGCTGGGGGAGCAGGAGGGCTCCCGGGTCGGGCTGGGGTTGGAGGAGTCACAGAAGAGATGCCAAGGTGTGGCGGGCATGGCTGGTCTGGCTGCAGTGGGGCTGCTGCGGGGCAGGGGACCTGGCTGTGGAGACCCTGGAATGCTTCCCACTGAAGGGGGTGGGGACTTGTGGGCATGATCTGTGAAGATAACACCCTGTGGAGACCAGGGAGAGGCTCTCAGGAATGGGCAGGGGGCTTAGGCTGTGCAGGAAAGAGAGCCAGAGGGGAAACTTCCAGTCCCTACCATGCCCAGAGCTACCCCTCCAAGAGGAGCGAGCTCTGCTATCGGCCACCCAGAGCCGGCTCCAGCTTCCGACACCAGTGGATTGCAGTACTTTGGCTTAAGAGGAGGCCCAGGAGGCTAATGGGAGTTGTAGTTGTTGGCCCAGAGGCTGGTGGGAATCGTGGTCCACACCCCTACAAGGTCTAATGGGAGTTGTAGTTCTCACTGTTTGGGGGCTGATGGGAATGGCAGTTTCTGCCCAGGGGACCCCAGTTAGCAGACCTAGAGATGGGAAGACCTACCCCCTCCCTCAAAGCCCTCCTGCTAGTTCCCATGGGCCCTGTTTTAGCAAGTGCATCCCTCCCAGATGGCTGTGTATGTATTTTCTTTTCTTTTTTTGCTTTCTTCTTCTTTCCGTTGTTTTATTATTGTTTTAACAATAATAAGTGGGCCAGAGGCAGTCAAGCCCTGGCCAGGTCCTGGCGGCCCATGGGGGGGCTGGGGAGGGGGAGGGTGGAAGTCAGTGGGGGTCAGAGGTGGAGGGTGAAGAGAAAGTTGGGGAGTTAGCCTTAGCTCAGGAATCCTGTGGCCCTGCTCACTTCCCTCATTCACCCCCTGCTCATCCCCACGCCCCTGCCTCGACATTGGCTTCCCCCATCCCTCCCAGAGTCCCATGGGATGGGACCCCACTCCAGTGCGTTTGGCTCCGCCCTGCCCACTCTTCGTCACAGGCCTCCTCCTGTCCACCTTCCGTGTCACCTCTCCCGTGGCCAACTGGCAGTTGGCCTGCAAAGCCCCCTTCCACGGCCATCCCCTCCCAAGTCCTCTGACCCAAGTAGCAATAGTGACAACGCAGCTGCCTGTCATGGGACCTCCTCTCCAAGCCCTCCTTCCCGCCTTCCCCTCCCGCCCTGCCACACTGACACCCAGTGGTGGCAACAGTCCCTCAGTCCCCACCTGCGCTGTGCCTGCTGTGCCCGCTGCGGTTCTGTGTCATGAGGGGGAAAGGGCTCCCGTGAGGGAGGAGAGTGTGTTCAGGAGGAAGCCATGTCCAGGGAGAGTAGAGTGAGGGAGGGAGATACCAAACAGCTAGACAGAAAACGTTGTACGGAAAAGTTGTTTTTTCTTATTTTTTTTCCGGGAGAACCCGCTTACACAGCTCTGTTTGTAATTTTTTTCTTCATGCTAAAATCACACGGCCTATTTGTTGATGTAAGTTGCCTGAATTCCGTGGTATGCTATCTTCTTTTTTAAAAACAAAAGCAAAAAAAAAAAAAAAAAAGCAAAAAAAAGAGAAAAATCTAGAAAAAAAAATAACCCTAAAAGATACTGTTGTTAGGTTTGTTTAAATGCTGTTGTATCTGTTTTTAAAACCTTAAACCAGTAGAGTTTTTTTTTTTTTTCCTTTTCTTTTCGATTTCCTTTCCTTTCTGTTCCTTTTGGTTTCTTAAGACAAACAAAAGACCAAAACCCAGAGTCACAGAGCCCGTGCGTGGGGTGCCCAGGGCATGCGAGCCGCTGCCCGCTTAAAGCGCAGCGCAGCGCTCCGGCTGGCGGGCGGGCCCGGCCCGCTCTAGTCTCCGCCAAAGCCGATTGGAACCGATTTGGGTGTGTGAGGCTGTTGTTTCTCTCTCTGTGCCGGCCGCACCCGCCCCGGCCCTCGCTGACGCCCTCTCTTTTCTCTTCTCTCTCTTGTTCTAGGAGGAGAGTTAATATTGCCCATTATCACGGAGGACTCCTTAGATCCCCCTCCCGTGGCCACCCCCGCCGCCCGGCCTCCGGGGGCCCTTGCCAGGCCGAGCGGGACGACAGCGACTGCGAGGAGCCCATCGAGGCCTCGGGCTTTGCCTCCGGGGAGGTCTTTGACTCCAGCCTCCCCCCCACGGACGACGAGGACTTTTACACCACCTTTCCCCTGGTCACGGACCGCACCACCCTCCTGTCACCCCGAAAACCCGCTCCCCGGCCCAACCTCAGGACAGATGGGGCTACGGGTGCCCCTGGGGTGCTGCTCGCCCCCTCCGCCCCGGCGCCCAACCTGCCAGCGGGCAAAATGAACCACCGAGACCCGCTGCAGCCCCTGCTGCCCCGGGTGGAGACCCCCCCCCGGGGGCCCGGGGCCCCCACGTCCTTCGAGCCGCGGAGGCCCCCTCCCCTGCGCCCCGGCGTGACCTCAGCCCCCGGCTTCCCCCATCTGCCCACAGCCAACCCCACGGGGCCTGGGGAGCAGGCTCTGCATCCTCATCCTCCTGTACGCCATGTACAAGTACCGCAACCGCGACGAGGGCTCCTACCAGGTGGACCAGAGCCGGAACTACATCAGTAACTCAGCCCAGAGCAACGGGGCTGTGGTGAAAGAGAAGGCCCCGGCTGCCCCCAAGACGCCCAGCAAGGCCAAGAAAAACAAGGACAAGGAGTATTACGTCTGAGCCCCGGCACCGCGCCCCACTGCCAGCCGCCCCTCCCGGGAGGGCCCGGGACGAGGGTGCGGCCCTCTCCCTGCCGCGGGCCTGGGGACCCTCTCCCTGGCTGCCTCAGGCTTCTCTCGCGAAGAGGAAACGCAAAAAAAAGGAAAAGGAAAACCCGTGCTCGTCCCCTTCCTCCTGCTGTCCTCGGCAGCGGCGTCGTCAGTCCTGGGGCTGTCTGTCCCTCAGCCCTGCGCGGCCAGGCAGGGCACGTGCTCACAGTCCTGGGTTGATTTATTTTTTTAAGGGGGGTAGTTTTATTTTGGTGGGGTTGGGCGGGAAGGAAGGCTGGGGTTTTGTAAGTGTCCACCGCTTGTCCCGTTACTTTTCCATTTTTCTTCTTCCTCCCTCTGTCCCTTCGCCTTCCTTCTTTCCCAGCCCTTCAGTCCCCATTCCAGGCTTGCTGTGTCTCTCTGTCCCCACCCTCCTCCCCCACTTCTTTTTTTGTGTGTGTCTGTTTTCTCCCTTCCTTT